GTACAGCAGAATTTTTTTTCACAAAACAAAACATATATATATATAATTTTTTTGTATTATTATTAAACTGTGAATAATGTATTCACTCAAATAAATACAAAATATAATAAAATAAACATTAAGGTGCAGCATTTCGATGAACTGAAATAATCTGTATTTTAACTTTACTGTACTAGTACTCACAAAACATAAACTATTAGTTTTGGGTTTTTAATTATTATTAAACTGTGAATATTCACTCAAATAAATACAAAATATAATAAAATGAACATTAAGGTGCAGCATTTCGATGAACTGAAATAATCTGTATTTGAACTGTACTAGCACCTAAGCAGCCAGTTTGACATTAGGACTTGCTTGTCATTGTATTTTCATGTTTTTTTTAAAGAAAAATGAACTTGTCCACATTGCTTGCCGAAAGGGCAGATCTGCTGGCACTAACAATGTCTCCTGCTGTGGAGAACACCCTCTCTCTAGGGACAGAGGTAGCAGATACAGCCATCTAGCGCTTTGCTAACATGGCAACATAAGGATATTTGGCATTTGTAATAGCTTTGGCTCGGTCTGAACTCTTTGCGAGTGGTGGAGGCTTAAATGCTAGTGGGAGTTGGGTTTGCACTTCAGTCTTTTTTCTTTTGGTATCGGTGATATTCACGTTCGGGTGATGCCTTTTCAAGAGTGTGCAAGTTTGATGTATTGCCAGCCGCGTAACCAATTTTAGTTGAACAATGCCGACAAACAGCTTTGGTTCGGTCCACCTGTCTTTGTCCGTCATCCTTGTACGTAACTGCGAAACCAAAATGTTCCCAAACCGGAGACTTCAATGATGCTGGAGGATTTTCGAGCTCAACTTTATCTGCGTTCGCCATTAATTTTCGATAGTTCCTCAAATTACTGACTACATTTGAACGCATCCCTCTGACCAGCTCTCATGTATGCCTCTCATCCAATTAAATGACTTGCTCGCTCTATGACGCGTTGAACCCAATGTGAGCAAATTGCTCTGAATGCTGCGACGCAGCACCTGAGATTACTTCCAAAAAGTTGTTCACGTTCTCAATTTTTTACGTTTAACGTTATATTCGTTCGGTACACACCTGTACCGAACCGAAGGGCCCGTACCGAATAATTTCAGTACGTGTACCGTTACGTGTACCGTTACACCCCTAGTCGGCACCCATGTTTATTCGATGGCTGCAAACCCAACGACGAGGGTTCTCCTCCAAGCTGCGTGATCTCTGCCTAAGCTGCGACCTGCCCCCAGATCGCTATTCCCACTGTTTAAGAATCTGCACAGCCACAACCGCAGCTCTATATCGGCCTACCTCAACCCTGAGTATCCTGGGACGTCGGTCATCTTCTGCCCACCAGCGCTATATCATGCCTCACATGAATGAGATCCTTTCAGCACAAACAACCATGAGCTCTTGCACTACTCGATGATGAGTAACGTTCAAAGATGTATATCTATATAATTCTGTTATTGCATACCAGGTGGTTGCTGGGTTAGATTATATTTATTTCATTATAGTATATTCCCCTCATAGCTGCATGCTTGGGGGGGAAAGCTCATTGTCGCTGCCACAAAGACCTAGACACAGCAGTCTTGATAGGTAGTATATTCCCCTCAAAGCCGCGGTGCTGGGCGGGGGGGTAGGCACTGGTCACTTCCAGGCCTACACATAGCAGTCTCTCTAGGTAGTATATTCCCCTCAAAGCCGCGGTGCTGGGAGGGGGGTCGGCACTGGTCACTTCCAGGCCTACACATAGCAGTCTCTCTAGGTAGTATATTCCCCTCAAAGCCGTGGTGCTTAAGGGGAATGGCTTTTCGGGCTGTTCCCGGGCCTTCACATAGCAGTTTCATTAGGTAGCATATATAGGTAGTATATTCCTCTCAAAGCCGCTGTGCTCAGGGAAGAATGGGCTCTGGGCTATTCCTCAGGCCTACACATAGCAGTCTCACTTAGTAGTATATTCACCTTAAAGCTGCTGTGCTTAGGGGGAATGGCCACATGGCAGCTCGCCAGGCCCTCTACTTATCAGTCTTACATCACCAGCGTCAGGCTCGGGCTACGCAGTTTTGGGGGATAGTATCTAATCTCCACGCAGTTTTGGGGGTTAGTTATTTAATCATCACTCATCGTGCTATGTATATCTATGGAGTGATGATGCCCGAGCCTAGTCGCCAAACTCAACTATATGCTTCTAATAAACATGTTAAAGGAACATGTGAGTTGTCTGACTAAAATCGGGCGAAGCCTGCGAGCTAGTTCAGGCAGTCAACTCGAGCACTTATGCTGCATTCATACATAACGCCCCCTTGCCACTCTACAACCAACCAAACAGAGTCTCCTTAATATGCCGCTCTATTTAACCTGCCAGATCTCTCTCCATGCATTGCTTGCTGCTGCTATTGCTGTAGCTACCTCTACGTTGCTGCTGCTTGCCTGCCCCACCACCACCCCAGCTTCCACCTGTAGGCTCGGGGGTTAGTTATTTAATCATCACTCATCGTGCTATGTATATCTATGGAGTGATGATGCCCGAGCCTAGTCGCCAAACTCAACTATATGCTTCTAATAAACATGTTAAAGGAACACGTGAGTTGTCTGACTGAACTGTAAATTATTGTGTCCGTCCAAAATATATTTTGTACTTATAGTGAAAACTAACCTTGGATGATGGGTTAGTAGACTAAAAGCTTTAGGAATCCAAAGTACAACATATAATAAGTACCCTGTATCAAGATTGATGCAAAACAAGTGATATTTTACCTTTTTAGACAGATTTAGCTAAAAGAACCCTCTTCTGGGGCCATTTGGGTGGATTTTCATTTCTCTGGCCCCCCTTGCTGGATTTTGACATGTGACATCTCTTTCTAACCGTCAGAGCCAATGGAATCGAGGGGAACTCCCACATAGTCCTTATTTGGTAATGTGTGTGTGTTAGACTGCCGCATAGCCAGTGGCGACTGGTCATTAGGGGCAGGTGGGGCACAGCCCCACCTAGTGTCAGCAGAAAGTATTAAAAGTAATGATTACAAAAAAATGCAAAAGATAAATTAAAAAATATATAAAATATATTTTAAGATCATGTTTATTCATCTGATTCGTCTGTACATTGCTGTTTTAGTCTGTGTTCTTCTAATTAGTGTCTACAGTGTGTGCCTATTGAGCTGTTTTGAGCCATGTGGGACAAAACCCGATCCTGCCCCTCCCTCTCCCTGTTTAAGTCAATGGTGACTGTAAAAACTACACTGCGCATGCTCAGAGTATTGTCCTATTTCATGTGTGTGGCAACAAAATAATGACCATAGGGGCACTGTGCTGACATCCCCACCATACGTCATCTCACATAATTCAGAGCTGATTGGCTGTAAGTACGTGTGCCGCGAAAAGTGTGGTGTGTGAAGAGGAGGAGAGAGAGCTGCAGTGAGGCGTCCTAAAACCTGGAAATAAACTGCGCATGGCTTCCCTCCACAAAAAAGCAATGATATTTCTCCATAGGATTTTAGAAAATAGCTCCAAATAAGATCTGTGGGAAACAAACCTGTTAGATAAATGCACGTTTTGTTCAGCCGGATAATATCCACATGTCTACCCTACTTTTATATAATTTTCGAATCATAAATCTATTGATTAGATCAGATTTATGATAGACTTTTGAAACTACAAGAACATAAGGAGGACTTTTACAAAAAAGTAATAGAGATTTTTGTCCAGAAGGATAGGCAAATGGACTTCATCTTCATGTCAAGGTAAGACTGCAATTTGATTGAAAATGGGATCTTACTAAGAGAGAACAATTCAATATTTAAATGATACAATTACATTTTTTGGGTATCCTTTTGTTGAACTGTCTGTTTAAAATTAATTGAAGCATCAGACAAAAAAAGCTTTTGAAAATAATATGATATTTTGATTTAGGTCATATAACCTGAAGAGTCAGAGCCTCACCAGCCATGAACCTCACTGCAGAAGCTTATATATAGACATCTAAGTTTTTTGTGCCCCACCACTTTTGTACATATAAAAACGCCACTGCGCATAGCCAAGACCGGAAGCTGCAGCCACTCTGGTGGCTACCATTAGCAGCTAACTTTTGCTCTCCGATTTTTACATACAAATTGAATTATGGATTATAAATGAAATCATTTTTTTATACAGAGACGTTAAAAACCTATGGATTAACCGATTCAGCCGCGTTTTTTCTCGTTTTAATGCCATTGAACACGTATTTTGATCAGATTGACAGCTACGGTGAGACAAGCTCCGTAAAGGTACGTGTTGTGATGTCTGTGTTTGCTTCCCTGTCGCGAGTTCGGATCACTCAGTGATGATACTATATACCTAAATAATCTGTGGAACCTCAGCTTTAATCGGATATCTTGTATGTGCAGCTACGATAAGTAATAAGGGTACTTTTATCTTGAGTTCTGTGCCAATGTCCGTTAGCATTTTTCGCTAAGGGGTCATTTAGATGCTTCTTATGAGACTTGTGTTTTGTTTTGGTAAAAATGGTTTGTATCGTCAGTTCAATCAGGAGAGACGTGATGTATGAGTACATGTTTATTATCGGGACACATATGTGGGAATAGTGATTGACGTATTACAACAAGTAACTGTAATGATGTTTTGGCGATTAGGCCCCGGGTTTGCAGGATGATCATTCAGGAGGGAAAGAACCGCTCTGATGAACCCCCGGGGTCTAGACACTGGTGGTGGTGATAGTAGTTCGTCCGATCTGAAGGGAGAAGGTTTCAGCTTGGCCCTGTATTAGGAGACAGGAGGCGAAGGGGTGGAGGAGGGTTGTGCGTTGACGCCTGAAATGACAACTGACAGGGAGGGGAGAGCAGATTTAAGGGGTTAGCAGGTGCGATGATTGGCTAGCCGGGGCGTGACGCCCCTGATCGCTTATTGAGATAACGTGTGACACCTGATGATATTGTCTTCCTGATTGAACTTACGCTGAGCTACATTTCAATCAGGAGAGACGTGATGTATGAGTATATGTTTATTATCGGGACACATGATATGCGGGAATAGTGATTGACGTATTACAACAAGTAACTGTAATGATGTTTTGGCGATTAGGCCCCGGGTTTGCAGGATGATCATTCAGGAGGGAAAGAACCGCTCTGATGAACCCCCAAAAGAAGTGAAGTATGAAGTACGGAGCTGTGAGCAATTCTTACCTTGCGGCTGGCTGCGGAGATCTATGGATGAAATGAGAGATTAACATGTGTGAAGAAAACTTCTGTGTTGCAATGTTGAGGTGGAATGAAGGAGTCTGGATCGTCGTTAGCCAAAACACTGAGAGTTTATTTAAGAGTATATTTAATACAGCCGGGGATATTACTTAGTTTCACACATCCCTGTGCAGCCACCAAGCCATCTCTGCCACAAAGAAGACATAGCACGCACCAACATGAGAAGAGGCGGAACTACAGAAGCCCGCGTTTTACCTAATCAATAGCAGATGTGAGACAATAATCTGTTTGTCTCGCAAAATGCATGGAGACAGGAAACCTTCCCCCACAGGAAAGAGGGAGAAGCTTTTGACCTGTGACCTCAACTTACAGAGAGGATCTTTGACTTTAATACAAAGGATGTTTGCAATATCACAGATTCTAAGAAAAGATAAGAAACTCTATAGGGACGTGATGAGCGCCGGAATCGCTTCCGGGCTTCGGGGTTAGACATGCGCGGACCCACTGGCCGCAACCTGCACTGCAGGGTTAACATGACGCAGACCCACTGGCCGCAATCTGCATTCGCAGGGTTAAACCTAACGCAGACCCATGTCCGCAACCTGCATTCGCAGGGTTAAACCTAATGCGGACCTGTGTCCGCAACCTGCACTCGCAGGGTTAAACGTGACGCGGACCCACGTCCGCAACCTGCACTTGCAGGATTAGCGTACGCAGACCCGGAGTCATAGCCTGATAGTTACGAGAACAGTTGACACGTATACATGCTGACGTGTTACCACCACCAGTTATAGGCATAATTACCATTTTTAGTGTTTGAGGGACCTTTGGATAGCCAGCACGGCACTGATGTCCGGGCGGATGTAGGATGTGAAGGCAGAGGAGGACCATCGTCCGAGTTGTTGCAGGGATGAGGATGAGACGCCTTGATTAGCAGTGGAGGTAGCTGCGCCTATCCTGAACGAATGCCCCGAGATAATTGGGGTGATAAGCCGGATCTAATGAGAACTTGCTTAAGTAATGTGATGAGGGACGCTAGTGTTAGATCCAGAGAGTGTGATAATAAATGTGTAAGCGATAGTGGAATCTGAGCGGCCGCTATGCGGATGATCTCATGCAGATATTCCCCCCCAAAACGGAGGATGTGCAGTGCACGTCTTTAAGGGACGGGGAAACCGCGGTCGTCGTGAGGCCGGCAGATGCCACGTCCAGAACGGGAGATGATGGCGTGCCGTAGATTATCCGCATGCAAAGTATGGTTGCCCGGTGAGGAAGAGCAATTGTCGTTGGAGATGTTTGCTGTATGCGCCTTGACGTTTATGTGGATGCACGCAGTTTGGTTAGAGGAACATTAATACCATGAGCTTGATGTAATGCCTAGGCACTCCAGGTGTGTGACTAGGCCTATAGTTCCTCATGATTAGGCACGCTGTGCTCCTGGAGGAGTCTCTTCTTGTTTCTTCTTCTCTCTTCTTTCTTCTTCTCTTTTCCCAGTTGAGTGGGGTTATAGGTTAGTAATGTTGTATTTGAACACTAGATGGCGTAAAGCAATGCATGAGGGGATCTCCCTGGGCAGTGGGTGATTGAACTGGGGAGAGACACTATTAATATTATTTACCCGAATAGCCGGTGCACGTGTAGTTTCTCCTTACTTGACTCCCGCTTAAGGCTGAAAGAGTTCCGCTGAACGGATGATGGGAACTTAAAGCGCGTCGTTAATATCTGCTTTGAAGAGCCAGCCTTGCCTGCACGCTATTAAGATTACATTATCTCCGTGCGTAGAAAGGGGGAACATTGACCTTGTCATCGAGATTGCCCTGAACAATACCAGTCATGCTAGTAGCCTACGCTAAAGCGAATATAGTTGTAACGAGCAGTAGCGCTTGAACAAAGTGACTAGAACGCGACCGCACCTTGAAATATTTATGCAGTCGGGCAGCACTAAGAATCTGTTATTGTGTAGGAAACGGTTTAATGCCGCAATGATAGTGACAGTAGTCAAGATGACTGATTAGCTTGGTTGCAACATCACCTGTAGGATGCCAGAGAACCTTAATGACGTTGTTGTGATGCCGACGTCGTAAATTCATACTGAAACATATCGCTAACAGATGGGACATATTTATAGCTGCTTATATGACAGTCGGACAGTGAATGCTTAACGACGACTGCTGCGTGTGAGTTAACAGTGGAATAGCTCCGGTGCACAATTCGCTGCAGCGGCGTTTATGCCGCTGAACCACGTGATAACCGATACAACACGGCATTCTAGAAAAGTATAGGTTGAAGAAGTAGTTCTGATTGAATCTGGCTTCGTATGATTGAAAACTACCTGACACGATCCTCCATGTTGTTTGACAGCGGTAAGGGAGAAACACGGCGACGTAAACAATTACGTCATGACGCAGACGCGATATTACACCTTTGAACCTAATTCACCTCTGTAATGTGTAAGGATTTAGTGGATCAGAGACTGTGAACGGATTTGGACAGTGCTGCCGAAAATATGTTGTTGTCGCAGATCCAGCCGTTGGTGCACCGAAAAACGGAATATTCTAGTGGAGAAAAAGAAAAACGATCATTAAGTCAATAAATCGTTCAATTAATATTGGGAGTGAATTCCTAATTTATTTAGTATCTGGTCGTGTCATAAACAGGAATGTGCAGCGACTTGTCATTGAGGAAAAGAAGCCCTACGAAACACCATTCATTTCAGGTAACACTGTGATGAAGCTTGAAACTGCATTAGTTACTGAGCATTGTAATGGGAAGTCATACTGTTAGAAATTAAAATCAATGTTTTTAATGGCATAAAGTACCTTAAACATACCGTCAGTTTAAATCATAGGTTTAAATGCTGTTTTATACTGAAAAACCAGAAGTTCTTGTGCACAACCAGTTGTTAAGCTTTTATTCTGAAAATCCTTCTTCTCCGGTTAGCATTTAGCATGTGGCTAATATACCATTACTATAGAGGTGAATTTAGTAGCGATATGACACGGAGTGTTGCACACCGAAACCTACTGATTTCAACACTACAACTATAGACGTCGAGATATTATTATTGTTGAATATTAAATGAAGGTACAGTTTATTTGAATACGTTATTGTTTACAGATGTGGGTAGCATGTGACAACATCCGGAACGACCGGAAACCAAACTGCCGTGAAGTATTTCCTGTATTTTTTGGAGTATTGATTACAGCGTTTAGAATGTGTTAAATGAAAAGTCATGAAAAGAGTTAAGGAGGAGAAAAGGCGTGTTTGGATATATATTGAATGTACAATGTATGTATCCTCTGATATGCGTAACAACGGACATTAAATACGTGGAGGGCCGGCCCCCAGCAGTGCCGACCGGCACACAGGGAGGAGCCAGCAGAGGAGATATAACAGCTGGAGAGGTGGAGCTCGCTCTCTTTCCTTCACTCAGACACAGCTGTTTTTCTGACTGAACAATCTCCTGTTTGTAACATTACCGCGCCATATTTTTAATTAAAGTAACCATTTGAACCTTCTCAGAGACTCCATTTAGTCGACTTTTTAAAGCCTCTCTCCTGGACGCGAGAATAACGAACATAGATAACAATACCCGAACTGCATTAGCAATGCATTACGATCTTCGTACGCAAAGAAATACGTTACTGAAACTCCATTCTTTCACACACACATACGGGTATTGGGCCGAGCGCGACACCCTACGTCCGGTATCCACCGTTTTACGCGAGGTGCAAGCAGCCGTACACCGTCTAGGTGTTGCTAAGCTTCCTGTACTGAATATCATAGTCTATTGCCAAGTCAACTCTAAAATACCACATATATGCAATGGCATGATAATATTATTGTGACAAATGGGGTATTCACCTGGTGTTTCCAGAAATTAGACGTAGATGCAGCCACAATCGACGAAGGCCACTGTCGTTTTTCCATACATCTGCAGGCAGTCTGTAAGGGCAATCGGACAACCCACACAGCTCTAGTTTACGCTGGTAACGACCTAAAAAACACCCCTCAAGTCCAGAGATGTAATCCGAAGACATGCAGCGATTTCTTCGGTCGTTAATTCAGAAAAAAAACCTAGTGCGCTCTGCCTGGCTGCGTTAGCTAGCTGTTTATATTTGCACTTCCAGGATATTAGCACCTCCAGGAAAATGGCGTATTTATATATATATATATATATATATATATATATATATATGGCGCGTGTTGCATTGTGGGTAGCTTGTGACGTAACTGTGTGTGAAAGAATACTGTAACACGTTACGCCCAACACTGCCTGGAACTCACCTTAACCCTGAACTAAAGGTAGCAATGCATAGTGTTAAACTTCCTGTCGGCTCCCAGACCGTAGTCGAGGAAACGGGGGGGATGACTCTCTGTCGTAGTTTTTTATGGACACATTTACCATTCAATCTCGTCCAACTGATCTTGCAGCTGTCACTCCTCGGCTCTTGGTAGTTCAGGCATTTATCAAACCTGGCAACTCCGGGCTTCCTGGCAGCTGTCAATCAAAGTCCAGTGGCTCCGCCCCAAAGTGCCAGAAACTTTTCACGCGCGCGTAGACAGACTCCGCGAGCGAGTGAGGCTGACGGCCCGTCCACATAGCAGCGTGCGTTGACGCTTGGAGGTGGGCGTATCTGAAGCTTGGGGATTTTTTGCGACCAACAACCAATCACATGGCACAATCTCCCGCCCCCGACATACAAAGCAATAGCAATGTTAAAACGAAGTAAACTGGATATAAAATCCCCAAACAGGCGAAAACCTACCAGTTTCATCCACTGTCTCTGCCACCTCCCTCCATGCCTCGCTCCTCCGGTTTGTATCCCGGTAGATGAACAGAGACTGATCATACGGCACCGGGTGATTCACTACCGCTATAATGAATTTTCCCTCCATTTTTTGGAATATGAGGAAATGACCTGCGTAGTCTCTCCCAGCATACACGCGGTTTGATTGGCTAGCGCTTGTACTGGCAGATTTGCATAAACGGGATTTCATTGGCCGTAACGGAGCCTACACACGGCGGCGTGCGTTGCCGCTTGGCGGTGGGCGTGTCTTGAGCTTGGGGAGTCAACGCGAGCAACGCGACCAATAACCAATCACATGAATGTCCCGTCCCGGACATACAAAGCAAAGCTCATGCTACATCCATGCTGGCTAAATATACTGTCTATGCTTGCTAGCTGTCCATTCAAACGAAGTACACTGGATATAAACTCCCCAAACAGGCGAAAACCTACCAGTTTCACCCACTGTCTCTGCCACCTCCCCCCATGCCTGGCTCCTCCGGTTTGTATCCCTGTATGTAAAGAGGGACTGGTCATATAGTACCGGGTGATTCCCTACCGCCACGATAATTTTCTCCTCCATTTTTTGACATATGGGAAATAACTGCGGTCTGGCTCTCCCAACATACACGCGGTTTGATTGGCTAGCGCTTGTACTGTCAGATTTGCATACGCGGGATTTGATTGGCTGACGCCTCCGTCGAGGCGGCAAAAGTAGAATATTGCTCTACTTTTGCAGCGAGCACCGCGAGAGAAGCTACGCTTTGCTCCCACAATGCAGTTCGGCGAATCGTGACGTCACCCCATTCAAAGTGAATGGGAAGAAGCATTGAAGCGGCAACGCACGCCGCCGTGTGTAGAGGCCGTAACACTCCCGCGAGGGAGCAAGAGGGCTGTCTCTGTGCAGATTAAACCCTGTTTAATCTGCATGCGAGGGTCATTTCATGCGCGTGTAAAAGCACATTTCCCGCTCGTGAGTAGCTTGTTTTGCACGCTAGAATATTGACCCAAATCTGACTACATAGGTAGCGATCTCACTCTGCATGACCCAATGTCATACAATACACGAACATCTCGTGAATTGTTGCAACTGCCTTTTGCCAGCGCTACCCTGACGCCTGTTTAAAGTGAGCGCAGGAGGAAGTAGCTTCAATGGGATATAGCTTAAGCCCTGCCTGCCTGCAGGAGGGGTTGTGGTTGAAGCCAGAATGGGTAAAACTCCGCATGCGATGAGGACCTGTTCCGTGTGAAGCCGGAAGCGCCGCATTAAGCGGCCCTGATGCCAGTGATGCCTTCTCGAGAGACTGAAGGCGTGCGTCAATTGTTTGCGTGAAGTAGCCATTCCCATTAAGCTGGAGGAACTTCCATGGAGCCCGATTTCCTTGTCTTTTCCTCCCGCGTCCGGGTTTGCGGGGCGGCCGGCTGGACCCGCTAGCCGACTGGGGAACGCCGCCTGTAGCTTAATCCGCAAGACTGCGGAGCTGATGAATAATGCCTGGAGCTGGAACGAAGCCCTGCTGCTGCTTGTGCGTTGACGCCTGAAATGACAGCTGACAGGGAGGGGAGAGCAGATTTAAGGGGTTAGCAGGTGCGATGATTGGCTAGCCGGGGCGTGACGCCCCTGATCGCTTATTGAGATAACGTGTGACACCCGATGATATTGTCTTCCTGATTGAATTTACACTGAGCTACATTTAGCTGAGATTATTTCCGATAATCTGGTATAACACATTAATAGGTTCTTAAATATTAAGATCCCCTGAGACCAGTGGCGTAGCCAGGAATTATTGTGTGGGTGGGCCTGGAGAAATGTAGGTGGGCCAGGGGGAGACTCATTAAGCATGGGGTCTGAGCTCAAACTTCATTAATGATTTTATTTATTTTTTAATGCACTAATTAAACATAAGCATAAGCATAAACTAGCAGTGAAAACAAAAACATAGGCACGGCGGCCTCAGAATGTGTGTAAAACTGACATCCACATGACTGGCTAGGCGGCCACAGAATACACAGGCTCGGCGGCCTCAGGTTGTTTATCCTTGACAGTCGCACACACGGAGTCGCTATAGCCTGCGAAGCGACGGCATCCTTGAATCGGTATCATACAGAGCGGCGATACTGCGACTAGAACACACACGCACACACACACACAATAGTCTGCAACTGCAGCTGCGCTGTTGTTGCAAATGCAACAGTCTTTTGTGTCTGCTGCGAGACCCCATCGCGCGTCTTCGTATAGAAGACGGAGGAGAGAAGAGTAGATAAACAAAATGGAACTGATGGATAAAAGACAACGACGAGGCATGGACATCAAACGCTTCATGAAGAGGAACTGGCTGCTCATCGCTACGATGATAGCAGTGGTGTTGTCATCCACATGACTGGAACGGTGGCTTCAGGTTTATCCCGCATCCACATGACTGGATAAAAAATCCAAATAACACCCAAATAAAAAGTAAAAAATATAAACAATTATATTATATTGACGCACCAAATAGCTAGGCTTCATTACAATTACAAATTAGTGAAATGTGAATTAGCCTACCTTTTTGATGATCACAGCAGGAGACGACGGGGCTTGGTATTGAACACTGAGATGATCTCGTCATGCTGCAAAGACTCGGCCAGTTCTCTTTCAAATGACAGGAGCGATAAACTATTCACAAGGCCAGTCACCATCGATGCCCTGCTGTCTGTCTTGATTCGATTGACTGTAGAAAATAGTCTCTCCACAGAGCAAGTGGTCATCGGTAGAGTAACGAGTGCCCTCAGCAGACAATTCATATTTGGAAATATGTCACTTGGGCAGGTGTCGCTAACTTCCATGAGTGATGGAAAGAGCCTGCCATCTTCCTCCTTTCTCTTTAGCTGCTGAACAAAAACAGTGTGTTCTGCAGCCTCCACTGTTATTCCAAAGTGGGCACTGGGTGATTGCTGCCATCTCGCCAAATGTCTCGGAACTGGGCATGCAGGCCGCTGCGGCTTTCATCAGCCCATATGAGTCTGCTTGGAAACGAGTGTCTAGCTCCATTATCTGCCTGTCCAAGATGTCATTATATAATCTTCTTAAATCAGAGTTGTCCCTCACAGCGGTCGCTTTGCCCATTGTCGATTCCACATGAGAGTCACCCAACCTGGCTGGCATCTTCCTCTTTCGGGAGGCAGTGACGTCCCAGTTCATAATGTCGTATTTCAACATCAAATCCTCCGTCAGTTTCATTACTTTGTCCAAGTCATTTTTGGAATTATCCCTGCATGCAGTGAAGCTCTCCTTAAGTCCCTCGATTAGATGTATGCAATCTGTTATAGATATAGTGGCGGATTGCAGGCCCTTCGTGGCGAAGTCACTCATTTCAAACAACATCTTAAATGTTACGAGATGAAATACAAATTTCTTGTTCTGGATTTGTTGTAAGAGAGAGTCAGCCTCGATTTTCGTCTGACCAGTGCTCTCAGAAAATTCGGCAAGTGTTTCTAATATTGCATCAAAAAGACTCAAAACCTTATTGACTGAACCAGACCTGGAACTCCATCGCGTGTCGAAGCCCCTCTCAAGCTCTAGCGCTGGTTTATGTGGGCGGAGCTGTTTCTGTATTTCTATAAACTTTGCATGTCTATGTGACCCAGTCATTAAACTATGTAAGGAGTTCAAAATATCAAAAAAGGTTGCGACGCTGGGTGATGCCTTGGATGCTGCGCAAAGCACAAGGTTGAGACGGTGCGAGTTACAGTGCACATAAACAGCGTGGGGGAACGTTTGCTTCAGAATGACTTGAACCCCACCTCTTTTGCCGGACATTACTGATGCTCCATCGAAACTAAATCCAACACATAATGCGGGATCAAGCTCTAGTGCCTCCAGTACTTGTAAAATATTTTCTGATATTACATTTGCAGTCATGTCCCCTGTCTCTACAAAACCCACAGCCCTCTCCTTCAACACTCCTTTGTGTAGGTATCGACCACAGACAGCCACCAGTTCTCTCTTGGAGAGGTCTTTACATTCATCTGCGAGAATAGCATAATATGTATCCGGCTGATCATGTAATTCACCTTTTATTTTCCGGATGAGTAGAGATGCAGCTATTTCCAACAACTCATTTTGTATGTCAGGGCTCATGAGTTTACAATTCTTCAGTAGTTCGTTCAGGCGCATTTTTATGTCGGGGTCATAAGTACAAATTAATTTGAATAACTCCAAAAAGTTCCCCCTGTTCAATGCCTCCGCATTTTCACGGTGCCCCCGCAAAGGTATGTCTTGCTTGGCGCAAAATAAAACGAGGTCTATCACAACTTTTATATGTTCTCGATTTCGTTCTATAAATGATCGATTAGCAGCATCCCTGTTAAGCTGGTTAATAATATTTCCCTTCCCTGACTGGTGGCATTGCTTATAGCCTTCTACTTTTGCCAATGCTGAAACATGTTGTTTGCTAGCCTCATGTTTTACACAAAACTGAGAAATATGCTTCCAGTCCTTAAATCCATATTTTACGAATCGATCTTCGCCTGTCACTTCAAGGAAATGGCGACATGCCTTACAAAACACTGCATCTCTGGATGT